CTCCTTCCTTCCTTCGTTCCTTCCTTTCTTCCTTCCTTCTTTCCTTCATTGCCTTCGAAGGGACTCCAGCGGAAAAAAAAAAAAGGACAAAAAAAAAACGAAAAAATACGCCCTCCTAAACCAAATCCTGTGGTCGAGAGTGCAAACGCGGCTCATATCAAGACCCAGAACAGCGGACTACTGTGCAGGGCTTAAGTTAAGAGTCCTCAGCCCAGGGTCGGAGAACAGGTGCTGCTGTGCAAGACGGAACCATTCTACGCTTCTTACCAGTGCCCCCAAAAACACGTTGCAGGGCATCCTTGCAAGCTACATGGAGACTGAATGACTTCTTGGAGGTTCATGGGTAGTTATACGTGGAGTTATAAGTAGGGCAACTATAGTCATAACCCATATTAGGGGACTTGGAATCCCACTTACAACTACCCATGAACCTCGAAGTAGTCATGTTGATCCCTGCACCCTAAACCCTAAACCCTAAACCCTAAACCCTAAGCCCTTCAAGAACCCAGGCGGGGAGCTCCTAAACCCGGAACTTTAAAGCACTTTAAGCACGAGGCCGCTAGGGTGTCATTCCGACTTATCTAAGAACCCAGAAAGAAGGGGGGATACGTAATGTAGGGGCCTTAATAATTGGGGTTTAGGGTTTAGGGCTTGAATTTAGGGCTTACTTGGAGGTTCAGGGGTAGTTATAAGTGGGGTTTTAAGTAGGGTAACTATAGTTGTAACCCATATTAGGGGACTTCTAACCCCATTTATAACTACCCATGAACCTCCAAGAGGGGGAAGGCGGGGATACAGAACTAACCTCCATATTTTGGCAAGCTGGCCTGTAGCTGGCCATCCTCACCCACGAGCCGCAGGACAGGAAGGGCCTCTCCAAAAACGGCGAGGTCGTGGGGCTGGGGAGTACTTGGAGGTTCATGGGTAGTTATAAATGGGGTTATAAGTCCCCTAATAATGGTTATAACTATAACTATAGTTACCCTACTTATAACTCCACTTACAACTACCCCTGAACCTCCAAGTAGTTTGGTTTGGGGTGATGATTAAGGGGTTTCAGGTGGCTTAGGGTTGGACAATCCACCTCAGCAACAAAACAGTATTTTTGTTTCCCGTTGAAGGCCAAGGCCATCCATTCTCGTGTCCGTTCCGTTTTCTGTTTCAGTTCTGTCGATTCAGGGTTCCATGGTTGATGACGCTTTCATTCAGCACTCGGTGCTCCTTGTAGTGTCTCCCGCTTCTGTGCAGGCTTGCGAATCATGATGTTCATGCTGCTCTGGCCCCAGGCCTAGGCTAGAGGCTTTGTTAGAGGGCCATGGAAGAGGCTGGCGTTCTTAAACCCTAAACCCTAAACCCTAAACCCACTAGCTCAGGCCGCATCTTCTCGTGGATTTCGGGCTTCAAGGTTTTCGAGTTTCAGGGGGTGCCTGAGGGCTTTAAGGTTCGAGGGTTTAGGGTTTAGGGTTTAGGCTTGAGGCTTGAGGGTTTAGGGTTTAGGGTTTAGGGTTTCGGGTTTAGGGTTGAGGGGTTCGCGGTTTTGGGAATGTGGGATCTTGAAGGACCCGAGGTGCGGCCGAGGAGGTCGACCTCCCAGCCGGGCCGAAAAATGCCGCCTTGAACAGGACGTCCGAAGGTCGTGGGGTCGAAGCCATGAATCCGCAGACCACGGGGGTTTAGGGTTTAGGGTTTAGGGTGCACCAAATTTCTTTGGGCCCGACTTCCGCAGAAAAGTTATGAGCTAGTTCCGGAAGAGTACCCGGTTTGTTGGGATCTACAGGGCAACGGGAGCCTCTGCATGTTCTATGAAAGCGGGTAGGTCAAATGTTCGTCCTACGGCACATGGCCTAAAAAAAACCATACCCTAAACCCTAAACCCTAAACCCAAAGCATGGAACAGGCCTGAGCAGGATCGACCTTGTGGATGTGCGGCTCATGCACGAAGCGCGCCTTTACGGTTTCGGGGTTCAATTTTAGGGAAGCGTTGGGGGCTTAGGGGTGTGAACTTCAAGCTTTGGGGTGAAGATATGTGGGGCGTAGGTCCTAAAGTCTACGATTCAGGGCTGAACTACACAAGGACCTGTCACACAAAGAGTGACAAGGACTCTCGTTCATTGCAGCATGCTGTCGAGTCGAGATCAGCATTGACTCGCACAGTGTGTTTTCATCATTTCACTGCCTGGCTTGGCGACTCAGGGTCGGCTTCAAACTCTCAGCTACCAACGAAGAGCCTAGAATCTGCCCGGCAAGAGACCAGGGGAGCAACAAAACAATCAAAAACCTCGGAGTGCTCAATCCTTGACATATTCGTCAATAATGGTGTCCGAAGCAGCCGCGGTGGCAGCACCGCCGAAAAATCCTCCGAGAATGCCACCAATGGCCGCTCCGACTGGACCGCCCACTGCCCCGACGGCAGCCCCGAGTTCTGCCCCTGTCAGCGCACCATTTTAGGGTTTAGGGGTTTAGGGGTTTAGGGGCTTAGGGTTTGGGGTTTAGGGTGCCATAACCGGCGACATTGCTGACAACAGCTTTGGTCTTTGCGTTGTTGGTGTCCGCTGTACGGTTCTCGTGGATTGCAGCGGCTGTTGCGATCCATGGGGCTGCCTTGCCAGCCGTTTCGCCCCAATTGGCAATCTTCCCACCAGCGCCACGGGTACTAGGGTGGAACCCCCTCTCTGCTGCTTTCTCCATTGCTTTCAAGACGTCTTTGCCCGCATGTGCAGCATGTCTAATACTTGAGTTGGTCATCCTAGCGATCCTCGCCGCATCTTCCGTCAATGCCAGCTCCCAGGGTTCAAGGGACAAATTGTCCTTGAAGCTCTCCTCATAGCTAGCTTTGCAACTGAGGATGCCTGCTCTCGGTACAACTTTGTGCCTGACACGCTTGGCAAGCGCAACACACGACAAGCCGATACAAGTCCAGGCTAAGGGGTTGCTCTGTGCCGAGCACGCACTACGCAAAGTATGGCGAACAGGGAGGCGAATTGCAACAAAGTCCGCCTGCTTGTGCTGCTGCTTAACGGATCCGATTGCTCCGGTGGAATATCCTTGAACCTGCAGCAGCCCCGCCAACACAACGACGCTGCATAAACTTGCGATCATTGCACGGAGCTGGAACTAGCTGATGGCACAGATTGAGCCTTGCAATATGCTATTTGGCACCAGAAATCCAAGAGGTCACTAAGTAGCAATGCTACCCGAGGTCACAGAACTTTCCCCTGAAGGACACACATGAAGCACACCCAGGCAGATCCCATAGAAGCGAGCACGACTCACCGCTCCAGTTGGTCAGCGGTGTCCGTGGCTTTGAAAGATTCGATGCTCCGACGTGTAGTATGGCTTTTGCTGAGATGTGCGCACTTCTGAATATCCGTCATGAGATGCACCGACTGCTGGCATCTCGGGCAAGTTGCGGAGCAGCATTTTGCCGGAGATGACAGCGTGAAAAGGACTGGGAAACTTATACCTGTACTTTCTCACCATTCTACACCAGAGTCTAATCTAATCAGGATGATCTGTACCCAAACATGGGCTGGCCTGAAAGGCACGGGATGCCCCTCGAGATAGCTCAGGGAATCGAATTAGAGAAGTCCTTATTCATCTAATAACCCTCAACTCCCAAAACCCGATTCCCAACACCGGCATGCCCTCTGGAACCAGATAAGCGCTTACTGGGCCGACGTGCACTGTCAAACTACAAATCCCGAACCCTTCGTATCATGTCAACGCCTTCTGGCCTACAAGATACCCTACGAGCTTCCCGATGATGCGTTGCTGCAAGGGCTGCAACCCAACAAATAGAACCCTATAGAAATTTGGAACACCCTGCTTAAATAAACCCTAAACCCTAAACCCTAAACCCTTTAAATTTTAAAAAGAAAACTAGGATGCCAGTGTCGACCCCCAACGGTGCAAGTCCCTGCACCACGTACACCCCGAAGATACCAGGACGACCACCGGCTGCACCAAAAAGCGACCACCAGGAGACAATGACTGTCTGGTGCTTCGTAGGGAATCGGGGAATGGGTTATAGGGGCTACAGTTTAGGGTTTAGGGTTTAGGGTTTAGGGACTACTATAAGGGACCTTAAGGGACTATCATAGGGATCCATTCCCCCATTCCCTACTAAGCACCAGACAGATGAAGCTGGAGACAGGACGCAAGGTGCCACCATCAACATGGGCGTTTCAACAATACTTTT